TATTTTGCAAAGAAGAAAAGAGGCACAAATGTGCACTAAGAACGAAGTGCCTTAAAAACCCATGGAAAACCGAAAACAAGATGAGCAGGCAGCCCCAGAGCAGCCACAAGCGCGGAAGGGGAGAACCTCAGTGTGGCTGCGTGGCTGCGTGGCTGCGTGGCTGCGTGGCTGCGTGGCTGTGTGGCTGCGTGGCTGCAGACTTCTTTTTGTTATGTATTTTTTACTACAATAATAATAAAAACAATTAAGCGAAAGGGGAGTAACTTTTTATACAAAGTGCCCTCACGGCATGTCTGTGCTTTTGAGGGTGGTTGTGTGTGCTGAAGACGTTGCCTCAGGGACTTCAGACAGTGCCAGTCCGCCACTCCCTGGGCCCCGTGTGCAACTCTTGTCCACAGTGTGCGGAACCAGCCAGGCCAGGGCCAGCTTGGGATGCAGTGGAGTCACCCAAGACCTGCTCCATATTTGTGTTTCCAAGACACATCAGGAAGGTCCTGCTTAGAAAGGAACCCGGGAGCCCCCGGTGTGTTTGGGCCAAGGGCAGAGCCGCCAGTGTTGCCGTCCGTGGCATGTGCGTGCACACTCAGTCGTGAACCACGTGCGCCTTCCCCAGGGCTGCTCGGACCCGGCTGGCTGCTTGGACCTGGCTGGCTCCTCCTGGCGCATGCTTCCGTGCACCCAGAGAGCATGAGGTGCGTGTTAGAGATCTTGCTCCTTCTGCACAGGGCCGCTGCCAGGCCTTCCTGAGCCAGTACACACCCTTTCTGGTGTGTACCCTCGGCACTGCGGTTAGGGTTAGAGGCAGCCATCTGTGCAAGGCCACGCCGTTCTCAAATCAGCACCGTTCTCTTTCCTTTGTTTAATTCTAATAAAGTGCCCCGTGAGCACTGCCACCAAGGGGCTGTCAGACTGGCAAGGACTGAGGAGCAGAAGTGCTTTTTCCTGCAGACCTTCTCCCTTCGTGGCGTGGCAGCCACGGAACCAGGCATTTCCTCAGCCAGGCAGCCAGAGCCCCCTTCCCCAGACCCTTTTCTAGCTGAGTTCTTCCGTTTCAGGATCAGGGCCACTGAAACATCAGAAGCCACCAACGCTGAGTCCCAATTGTGGAGGCGGGGGGTGCGTGGGAGCGGTGGAGGAAGGTGTAGGAGCTGTGGAGGTGGGAGTGTGGGGGCTGTGGAGGGGGGTGTGGGGGGGCCATGGAGAAAGGTGTGCGGGCTGTGGTGGGGACGTCGGAGCCGTGGAGGGGGCGTGAGAACCGTGGATGGGGAGGGGTGGGGGCCGTGGAGGGGATGCGGAGGGCCAGGGAAGAAGTAGTGTGGGCCATGGTGGGGGCGTCGGGGCCGTGGAGGAAGGAGCGCGGGCCGTGGTGGGGGCGTGGGGGCCGTGGAGGAAGGAGCGCGGGCCGTGGTGGGGGCGTGGGGGCCGTGGAGGGGGACACAAGTGTGTCTGTGCCTGTTGCCACCTGTGGGGTGCCCTGAGGGGGCCCGTTGGCCAGTGCTGGCGCGTATTTCTCTGGGAGGTTCACCTCGCCTGTGAGGATGGAATGCCGCTGTGCTCCACACGAGAATGGGGAGTGTAGAAAAGGAATAGATGAAGTCAGAATGGCACTCAGGAACCTGGGAACAGCAGATGGGTGTCGTGGTCCCCTTGGGCCGCCTGGGAGGCCCCTTGTCTTAGTTTTGCTTTGACCTGGCTGCAACGAAACCTTGGTGGCAGTAAGGAGACCTTGGCTGTGTTACGTGGCAGCACTTTGCCAGGCCCACTGGATTGGCAGTAGTTTATTCCCGTGATTGGAGGCCCCTGGAGGGTCCTTGTCAACGGCACTGGGTCCAGGAGCCAGGGACGAGGGGCGAAGCTGTCTCTTCTGGGGCTCTGATGACCAGTGCGGGGAGCGCTTGGGCCTGCACCTCTCTGCACACCAAGGCCTGAGGCCCGATCAGGAGCTGGCTAGAGGCTCTGCTGTTTCAGTGGCCCTGATCCTGTAGCTGAAGAAACCTCGGCTAGAAGAGAGTCTGGGGAAGAGGGCCCTGGCTCCCTGGCTGAGAAGGTGCTTGGTTCCTTGTTGCTGAGGATCTTGCACCTCTCCAGTTAGCCACATATTTTCTTGCTTGGAAAGGAAGGAGGTCCTTGGAAAGCTGTTCAGTCTGTCTGCTCATCAGCCGCTTCTGCCAGTAGCTTCAGTTTCTCACCCCTGCCCCTCCACTCGTGGTCATGCTTCTCTCCCGCCCTCCTGGGGTGGCTTGGGACTCTGTGCAGGGTCTGTGTGTTCCTGAGGCATTTTGCCATTCACTCCCGACCGGTGACTTCGATCATTTGGGCCAGGCCATTCACTTTTTTTTTTTTTTGAGACAGAGTCTTGCTGTGTTGCCCAGGCTGGAGTGTGGTGGCGTGATCTCGGCTCACTGCAGCCTCTCCCTCCCGGGTTCAAGCGAATCTCCTGCTTCGGCCTCCCGAGTAGCTGGGATTGCAGGCACATGCCATCTTGCTTGGCTAAGTTTTGTGTTTTTAGTAGAGACGGGGTTTTGCCGTGTTGGCCAGGCTGGTCTCGAACTCCTGGCTTCAAGTGATCTGCCCGTCTCAGCTTCCTGAAGTGCTGGGATTATGGGCCTGAGCCAATGTGCCTGGCCAGATTATTCACTTTTAGTTTATTACTCAGTGTCTTGGTCAGAAGTACTGGAAGTCCTGGGTGATGTTTTATGATTGTTTTGGGCAACATTTTGGAAGCCTTGACAGTCGTGCTTTGAAAACCCCACGGAGGTGCAGGGGCAGGTTACACAGCCGCATTGTTTCAACTTACAAACTCCACTGGTAGTCTTGAACATGTGTGTTCAGAAATCTTGATTCCTTTACTGCAGGGAAAACTAGATCTCTCCCTGCCAGATGTTGCTGTTTTTGAGTATTTAGAATTGAATTGAATGTACTGAGCACCAGTCTGACTTAAACAAAGGCTAACATTTCTTCTTTCGTGTACTTAATTCCGAGTAAAGTCCACGTTTTTATCCATGGTGCATCCTAGCGCTGCCCAGTCTCCTTTCTCATACCAGTGTCTGCATATGACAGACTCATGTACCTGACTTCATTGATTTATTTTTTATTTTAAAATTTATTTTGTCATCATTATTACTATTATTTTTTAAGATGAAGTCTTGCTCTGTTGCCCAGGCTAGAGTACAGTGGCGTGATGTCAACTCAGTGCAACTTCTGCCTCCTGGGTTCAAGCGATTCTCCTGCCTCAGCCTCCAGGAGTAGCTGGGACTTCAGGCACACGCCACCACACCTGGCTAATTTTTGCATTTTTAGCAGAGATGGGGTTTCACCATGTTGGCCAGGCTGATCTTGAACTCCTGACTTCAGGTGACCCACCCGCCTTGGCCCCCCATAGTGCTGGGATTGCAGGCATAAGCCACTGCACCTACCCTGACTTTATTTAAATATTATTCTTCAGGAGCCGGTAGGAGTTGGATAGATTTTTCTTCCTTTGTCTCATCTCCTCATCAGTTCTGCTGATCAGTCCTTACTGCTGACATTTTTGTACATGGACATATCCTTTAACATTGCGTATGAATTGCGCATTAACTGCCCACTAATTGAAAACCAGCCTTTGTTACTGTGTCCCTCAGATCTGGGCAAGTGCCTTCAGTGACAGACGCTGTCTCACCTTGATGAAGAACCCCTTGGAATAGGTTTGTTACCAGTTTGATGGGATTCCTAAGAGTTATCTCCAAATATATACTTAGAACATTTTAAAGGAACATTCTGAGTTAGCAGATCCCTCCATTCTACTGAATGTTAAAAATGTCTTAAAATCTTATTTGAAAACCAAGAACGTGGGGCCTTGTCGTTGTAAGTGGACACCCACTGAGACATGGCTGTAAGAGACTGCAGATGGCGGCTGGGTGGTAAAGAATCCTGTGTTTTGTAGTTCAGAGAGTTTTAAGATATCCAGAAACACTTGTACTCCTGTCCAGTTTTGATGTCTAGATTTAAATAAACCCAAGGCCATAAATGCAAAACACAAAACCCAATTTTTGTTACCCCGTGTTGTGTCCACTTGCAGTACATACAGTCTCTTCTGACTTTGGAAAAGCCTTAAAACCTCTGAGCCCAACCCACACCTCAGCTGTGTTTCTCCCTGTCACACACGTTCCTTAGGTAAAGTGGGAGGGTTCTGACCGCACCATCCCTTCCCACCGCAGAGTTCATCCCAGACCATGGCTCAGACACACACTCCGTCAAGGCCAAGGCCGGACCATCAGGGGTGCAGAGCTTGGGGGCGGAACCCCAGGCTCATTTCTCCTGGGCAGCCCACAGGTGGCGGCATGGAGGTGGAGAGCATGGCCGCCCTTTGCTCATGCGCCTCTGGGGGACCTTGGGGCATCACGGTTTTGGGCTTGAGAACTGGACCTCACAGGAGAGATGCGTAGGGAGGGAGCCCTACGGCTGAGGCGGAAGGTGGTCGGTAGCCTGGTGGTTTCGGAGGCAGACACTGGGGTTCTTTGGACGGAGTAAGCTGTTATCCTAGCCTGCTTCTGTGACTGTGGGCTCCACCTAACTTCTCTGGTTTTCTTACCCTGCAAGGAATGATTGTGAAGATTCCACAAGAGCCCTAAATGGAGAGTTCCTTGTTCCTTGAAAGTCATACAAACCTTATACTGCTGAACAATTCATTTTTTTCCTGAGTTTTAATGTGCCAGTCACCCTCTGTTAACCAGGGACAGCATAGTTACGTGTAACTAGATACACCACTGCTATTGTATTTTTTTCCCTGTGATCTTTCGGGTCATTTAAATTGAGGAAAGAAACCCTGCCTGACTCAGCCTCCTTTTGTTCTTGTCTGGGTGGCTCCTCATGGATTTTATGAGACCCCCCCCAGACTCAAGGGTGGTTTGTCCTGCTGAAGACAGATGCGCTTGGAATGTGCTGTAGCTGTACATGCCCTGTGTCGTGCTGTGTTCTGATGAGAAATGGTAACTTCCCATTTCATATTTTGCCTCCTCTAGGGGGACAGCCGCGCCACTGCTGCTTTTCCGAAGAGGGGACTTCGACCGAGCTCTCCAATGGAGACCAGAGTCACAAGCTGGGAGATCACGGCTCGGAAAGAGACCCCGGCGAGTCCGAGGCGGGGATGGCAGCTTCTGTGTCCATACTTGAAAACAGTAGCAGAGAGACTTCTAGAAGGCAAGAGCAGCACAGGTTTTCTACGGACTTAAAAATGCCAGCATTTCACCCTAAGCAGGAGGTGCCCGTTCCTGGTGATGGTGTGGAGTTCCCTTCCAGTACGGGAGCGGAGGGCCAGACGGGTCACCCTGCAGAAAAGCTGTCCGATTTGCACAACAAGGAGCACTCTGGGGGAGGGAAGCGGGCGCTGGCCTCAGACCTCGTGCCGCTGGATTTAAGTGCGAGGTCGACGCGGGATGACCCCAGCAATAAGGAGACAGCCTCCTCCCTGCAGGCGGCTTTAGTCGTTCACCCGTGTCCTTACTGCAGCCACAAGACCTACTACCCCGAGGTCCTGTGGATGCACAAACGCATCTGGCACCGCGTCAGCTGCAACTCCGTGGCTCCCCCGTGGATTCAGCCCAATGGTTACAAAAGCATCAGAAGCAATTTGGTTTTCCTTTCCCGGAGCGGACGCACGGGCCCCCCGCCTGCCCTCGGTGGCAAAGAATGCCAGCCTTTGCTCCTTGCTCGGTTCACCCGCACTCAGGTGCCAGGGGGGGTGCCAGGGCCCAAAAGTGGCTCTTCTCCCCTGGGAGGGGTCACAAAAGCCGCTAGCATGCCTAAGAATAAGGAGAGCCATCCCGGAGGGCCGTGTGCTCTGTGGGCGCCCGGCCCCGACGGGTATCGACAGACCAAACCCTGTCACGGCCAGGAGCCGCATGGCGCGGCCGCACAGGGGCCCCCGGCCAAGCCCAGGCAGGAGGCTAGCTCCAAACCGGTGCCTGCCCCGGGTGGCGGGGGCTTCAGCAGGAGTGCCACCCCCACGCCCACCGTCATCACCCGGGCTGGCGCGCAGCCCTCGGCTAACAGCAAGACCGTGGAGAAGTTTGGGGTCCCCCCAGCGGGGGCTGGCTTTGCCCCCACAAGTAAGCACAGTGCCCCGGACTCCCTGAAAGCCAAATTCAGCCCTCAGCCTCAGGGTCCACCTCCTGCAAAGGGCGAAGGGGGCGCTCCTCCTCTACCTCCCCGCGAGCCCCCTTCGAAGGCGGCCCAGGAGCTGAGGACTCTGGCCAGCTGTGCTGCGGGGTCCAGGGGCGACGCGGCCTTGCAGGCCCAGCCCGGCGTGGCTGGGGCGCCCCCCATCCTACACTCCATCAAACAGGAGCCGGTGGCCGAGGGGCATGAGAAGCGCCTGGACATCCTCAACATCTTTAAGACGTACATTCCAAAGGACTTTGCGACCCTTTACCAGGGCTGGGGTGTCAGCGGCCCTGGGCTGGAGCACAGAGGTAAGATGTGCGGGCCCCCTCTTCCCCGGGCCCCATGTGACCTCCATAGCCACCCCTGGAAGGCCAGGGCTGCTGCCCACCTGCCTGCCCACGGCCTCTGAGGACAGAGCCAGCCTGCCCCCTCCCACTGCTGAGCTGAGAGCCACACCCTGGCCCTGGCCCAGGAGCACAGCAGATGGGAACAGCCTTCCCAGGCTCCACCTCTGCCCTGCCGGGGAGCGCCTGCCTGGGCTTGGTGGTCCTCTGCATGCTGGCCCTGGGAGGAGTCGCAAGCCCCGCACGGCTTCCTTCCTGCTGAGAGGACGTTTCCTCCACACTGACATTCCGCAGGAGCAGGCAGACGTGATTGCACTTCACGTGTTTGTCATTTTAAACAGAATCCGTAGATGTTCATTGTCCTGTGTCTCCAAAGACAAGAATATTTATGTAGTGTGGTTAAGTTTTATTTTTATATATCTATAATTTAAAAAACACCTATTTAGTCCTCTAGTATTAGTAAGCAAAGCCTTGCAGAGGATGGATGTACCATGTAAAGTCTGGAGAATGGGATTTGTGCAAAAATTCCTGAAAAAAATACTTGGAAAGGTGGTCTTCGCTTCTCCCTCTGCCTTAGTATTGCTGTGTCACAGTAACACTGAGAAGGAATTGCTTTCCTCCTGCCTCTCCGGTGCGCGCCCTGCCCTGCATGCGGCACCCTGTTCTGGAACATAAATTGAAGGTCACTCTCACTTAACGTCCAGAACACGAAGAAACCCAAGTTCTGTTAAAAACCAAAACAAAACACAGTCTCAGTTCATTACCTGGGAAGTCCTAACCATGCTTTGTTAGAATTGTTCATTGTGACTGGGTGCGGTGGCTCACGCCTGTAATCCCTGTACTGTGGGAGGCCAAGGTAGGCAGATCATGAGGTCAGGAGTTCAAGACCAGCCTGGCCAACACAGTGAGAGACATTATCTCTAACTAAAAACACAAAAATTAGCTGGGCGTGGTGACAGACACCTGTAATCCCAGCTACTTGGGAGGCAGAGGCAGGAGAATCGCTTGAACCTAGGAAGCGGAGGTTGCAGTGAGTGGAGATCATGCCACTGCACTCTAGCCTGGGTGACAGAGTGAGACTCCATCTCAAAAAATATATATAAATAAATTTAAAAAAAACCATCGTAAGCCTGTGGTTTCTTAAAGTGGTTCCCATTAGAAATGGCCTCTGAGCCAGGGCTGCAAACTCAGGCCGCTGGCAGGACTGTCAGGGGCGTGGTTCCGGGTCTGGGAGTTGAGATGTCAGCAGTGACGTGGGACAATGTCCCAGTGGGTGCTGGGGTCACCTGCTGAGCTCCTGGCTTAGGCTGGGGTTTCAGAGCCAGCCTAGATCGTGACCTGCCGGGGCCGTCTTGGCATGAGAGATGTCTTGGCATGAGGGATGCTCACCCCAGGTGTTTCCCAGTAGGAGACGTCGCAGGTCTGCTGCCTTCTTAACAGATTTGCCGGCGAAGGCCTTACTCCAGCCGACCGTGTTACATTAGCCCGCTGAGCGCTTGTGAACTTTTTAGGATGAGGCCGAGACCCGGACACCCGAGGGTCTCGTGAGATGTGTTGGGCTGAGGTGTGACTCGGGAGTGGGGGTCCCTGAGGCGGGGTCGTAGATCCTTATCTCTTCTCCCCACCCGTGTGCTCTGGGTGGACGGTGTAACCTGAGGAGGCCGTCACGGGTGGGAAGTGCAGTGCAGTGCCATGTGGATTGATGGTTTGACTTTTCCCATGTTCAGTTAAAGTGAGTGAGTTCCCTCAGCCTCAGCAAGGTTTCTCAGTCATGTAGATTATTTGCTGCAAAGTGAAAAACAAGTTTGTTGGTGGCCCTTTGACGTGATGCCAGCTCACTTCTGGAGATGTGAGTTTTCTTGGAACCCAAAGCAGAGAAGGCTGAGTGGTGAGGGTTCCGCTGTCTTGGATGCTGGGTGTCCCTGACTGCACCTTGCCCACTCTGTCCTTCCCCTCGTGGTTGCCTCCCAGCAGAGCACGGGGGGTTTGACGCCCGCTTAGTCCACCTGACTCGTAATTTAGTCACGCGCTCACAGCCTGCACACACCCTAAGTTCTAAACCTGCCAGGTTACACCTGGAAAGTGGCATCCCCAGTTTTTAAAAGGCCTCTGAGCTGCCCTGTGGGTGGCATAGTTGCTGTTTCTGAGAAAGTGGAAGTGAGTTTTAAGGTAAGGATTTGAAATTTCGGATGATAGAATTTGAAGTCCAAAATAGGCTGAAGTATTTTCCCTTTTCTTACAGACGTCTTTAAAAATAAATGGTTCTAAGGCCTTTTTTTTTTTTTTTTTTGGAAAGAGAGAGGTTAAATATTTATCTTTCCTATGTGAAAAATACTAGTCATAAAGCACATGGGCTCATCTTGGGTTATTTATTCTTATAATGTACACATCGAGACATAGCGTGAGTCAGCAAATTTGTGGTTTCTAAGTCTACTCTAAATTGGATTTCTTAAGGGAAGTGCTTTCACCTTTTTGGTCTTAAAATACACCTGTTAGTAGGTGCATTATTAGGATCCTGGCTTCCCAGGTATAGAGTACCTGAGGTCAGCCTGTCTAGATACTCGGTCAGCACACCTGAGAAGTGCTGAGCATCTCCAGATGGGACGCCTCCGGTGAGGGGCTCGGCACCTCCTGGGCCCCTAGCTTTGGTGAACTTCCCTTGCCTGCGGGTCTCTGTGTTGAAGCCATCAGAACAAGCTGAGAGCTCTTCTATGTGATAGTCCTTTAAACCTTCAGACGCTTGTCTCTTGTCTTTCCTGGACCTAGCATCCCTGCTTTACATCCATCCTCTGCCTGGTCTCCAGGGCCTTCTGTGTTTATCCTCTGCCTCGTCCCCAGGGCCTTCTGTGTCCATCCTCTACCTGGTATCCAGGGCTTTCCCTGCCCATCCTCCACCTGCTTTCCGGGGCCCTCCCATCCATCCTCTGCCTGGTTTCTGGGACCTTCCCCATCCATTCTCTACCTGGTCTCTGGGGCCTTCTGTGTCTATCCTTCTACCTGGTCTGTGGGGCCTTCACGTCCATCCTCTGCCTGGTCTCCATGGCCGTCCCTGTCCACTCTCTAGCTGGTCTCCAGGAACTTCACGTCCATCCTCTGCCTGGTCTCCAGGACCACCTTTGTCTATCCTCTGCCTGGTCTCTGGGACCTTCTTTGTCTATTCTCTCTCTGGTCTCCAGGACCTTCTTGTGTCCATCCTCTACCTGCTCTCTGAGGCCTTCCCATCCATCCTCTGCCTGGTCTTCGGGACCTTCCCCACTTCTCTACCTGGTCTCCAAGGCCTTCACGTCCACTCTCTACCTGGTCTCCATGGCCGTCCCTGCCCACTCTCTACCTGGTCTCCAGGACCTTCTGCATCCATCCTCTACCTGGTATCCAGGGCTTTCCCTGCCCATCCTCTACCTGCTCTCCGGGGCCTTCCCATCCATCCTCTGCCTGGTCTCTGGGACCTTCCCCACTTCTCTACCTGGTCTCCGGGACCTTCCACATTTCCTTTCTCCATACTTGAATGTTTGTTTTTGACGCCCTTGAAGTGTTGTAGCCAGAAGAAAACCCAGCAACTTTGGCGTGGTCAGACTATTGGAAAGGTGAACAGAACACTCGTGTTTCCTGTTACAGAGACTCGATTTCTGTTAGTGCAACCCAGGACATCTGTGCAGCCTAAAGGTGAACAGAACACTCGTGTTTCCTGTTACAGAGACTCGATTTCTGTTAGTGCAACCCAGGACATCTGTGCAGCCTAGATTTCCTTTTTTGAGTGTTACTGAATACTGGAGTAACTACACTTTCTTAGGACTTTTTTCTTCCACTTGTTTCTGTTCAGCTGTTTATTTTTTGTGGTGTACCTGTAGTTGATTTTTGAGTCATGGGTCTAGAATCTTGTTTCATTCCTCTCTTGGTCAAATTGGTCTTTTTGACGTGTCTTATTATACAAGTGTGTCTGTACGTTCTGGTCTCCTCACCCCATGCGTTTGTTACGTGTCTGCTAGGTGGCTGTTGTCTGCAGATGTCAAGGTCACAACTTCCCTGTGCGTGGTCATTGATTACATCTATAGACGTAGCATCATTTTGTAGTTTGGGGAGGTAGAAATATGCAGAGGAGAACGGTCTCAGAGAACAGGAAGTCGTCTCGTGTACATGCAATAGTTGTGGGTGCTAGAAGTGTGATTCTGTGATTTTGCAGTGGACATGTTCCATTTATACAGAGAATGTTGCTGTTGCAGGATGCCTCTGAGACAGGTTTTATTCTGAAGTTAGGAAATGGGAGTCTCAGAGACTTCCCCGCCCCCCGCATGTGTTCAGGTGATGTTTCTGTAGATAGGGAGAGTCTAAAAACTCTACCCAAACAGTAAGGAAAGAACTATCGCTACCTCCCTTAGGGGTTCCCTGACCATTTAAGAAGAAAAACTCACTGCATTTTCTGTGATCATTGTACAGTGTGACTGCCAAGTCTGTAAACATACAGGAATAGAACATAAATGACTTATTGCTACAACAGTAATAAAATAATACATGATCTGTGTCTTCAGACCTTTTGGCCAGCCTAGATGATCTGATACGATGAATCTTAGAATAAAATTTGAAGCTAATAAAATGAGATAATTCCAGATAAAATAGATGGTATTTCTTATTAGGACTTAAAAAAAGTCATTTATACCAAGGAGGCCTTCATATTATGGTGATGAAAGCTTTATGCTTCCTTGCAGTCTGATCTCTCTCTGTAGAGTCTTTTTCATCTCCTCTTTCTCTATGGATAGCACAGCACCCCATAATGACACACAACGTTGCAGGACTGGGTTGACCCCCTCTGAAGTTCGCCAGGCCTTTTTCTTTCACTGTTAAGTCCACTTTCCAAACACAACCTGAATTTCTAGGTGACAACATTTGAGCTGCGTGCTCACCAGGTGGTCTTTGTTCAAATGGAGTTTGTCACCTTTGTGATTAACTCGGAATGCTGGGGGTAGCTTGGGCATAATATTGTTGGCCATAAGGGCAAGTGCCCTGTCTTTAAAAAGTAAAGAGAAAGTGATATGGTGAAATGTGTGGGAAAACCATATGTGCGCGTGCACTTGTGAGTGTGTGCGCCTGCGTGAGTGCGTGTGCACGCGCGCTCATGCACCCTTAATTGAAGGAAATAAGCACAGGTGAGCGGGAGGGCTCTCCGTGTTTTCTCTGTTGCTCATTTGGATAGGAAATAGCTACCACAATTACTTGAAAAAAGAATGAGAATGACTTCATTTTTGAAAGTTCTGAATGTTAGATGACATTGCATGTCGTCATCATTAGTCAGTATTCTGTGTAGGTGTGGTCACATTCCACCTGCAGATGCAGTCTAGATGGTACCTGGGAAAATCCAGACAACCAAAGTATTCAGAAATTTGTTTCATAGGAGTTCCACTGGCTGGTGTTTCTAGTGCAAATGAATGGGGGAACAAAATAGCTTAAAAAATCTCTTTTCTTTCCTTCCTTTCTTTCCTTCCTTCCTTTTCTTTCTGCCCTTCTTTCCTTCCCTCCCTTTCCCCTCCCCTCCCCTCCCCTCCCCTCCCTTCCCCTCCCTTCTTTTTTTCCTTTTTCCTTTTTCTTTCTCTGAAGACAGAGTCTCACTCTGTCACCTAAGCTGGAGTGCAGTGGTGTGATCTCAACTCACTGCAGCCTTGACCTCCTGAGCTCCAGTGATCCTCCCACCTCAGCCTCCTGAGTAGCTAGAAACAGGCATGCACCACTCGCCTGGATAGCTTTTACATTTTTAGTAGAGATGCGGCCTGTCACTCTGTTGCCCAGGCTGGTCTTGAACTCCTGGGCTGAAGTGATCCTGCTGCTTTGGCCTCTCAAAGTGCTGGGATTACAGGCGTGAGCCACCGCAGCTGGCCCCTGTTAACTTGAGTGTTGGTTGAAATGTTTCTTCTTACTCCTTTTGTGTATGTAAGGCAATGGGAATGTTGAGTAGTCAATGGCTAAGGTGTTAAATTTCTCTGATTCATGTTAATGATCTGTCATTTAAGAAATTTGACAAGATGTGCCTCACAGTTCGTGCATTTCTTTATTATTTCCATAAACTTGATCTATAGTGTAAACATGATTTTATGTTTTTACCTATTGAGCTACTCTGAATTAGGGTGAGAGAAACAGTACTGAAGATTTGTTTTCAACCGGTGTGACTAAGATGCCTTTTGTCATTCTCTTTTTTTTTTTTTGGAGACGGAGTCTCACTCTGTTGCCCAGGCTGGAGTGCAGTGGCCGGATCTCAGCTCACTGCAAGCTCCGCCTCCTGGGTTTACGCCATTCTCCTGCCTCAGCCTCCCGAGTAGCTGGGACTACAGGTGCCCACCACCTCGCGCAGCTAGTTTTTTGTTTTTTTAGTAGAGACGGGGTTTCACCGTGTTAGCCAGGATGGTCTCGATCTCCTGACCTCGTGATCCGCCCGTCTCGGACCAAAGTGCTGGGATTACAGGCTTGAGCCACCGCGCCCGGACGCCTTTTGTCATTCTCTTCACTTGCTGTTCACACTCAGGTGCCAGCCTTTAGATACATAAAAACTCAGCTGCGTAAAGCAGCTTTTAAAAAAAATTTTTGCAACAGGTGTGACTTTTTCTAGTTATTATTTGTTTTTTTTTCCTACTGAGTTGAGTTACTATTGCACGTGACAGTGACTCTCCCAGCCAGAGAAATGTCTTTGGAGCTACCAGCATGTGGAAAACAAGCCTTTTCTTCAGAGAGAAAAGGTGTGCAGACACACACTCTGCATCCCTTTCTAATAAAAGCCATGTGGCTTTTTGGATCAGAAGGAAACACAAAGCCCGGCCTTTGAGTACAGGGATGTGGCAGGATCTTTGGGGAGAAGGTGGGACTTGGGGACTTCCGACCTTGCCGATGGCCAGCAAGTGCACGCACCTTGGGGGCTGCTGCCTGGTGCTTGCAGGTGTCTCCTCCCTTCTGCTGGGGGCCGCGGCCTCAGAGCCACCCAGGCAGGCAGGAGAGAGGGCCAGAGGTGGGGCCGCCCCGTGGCTGCACTCACTCTGTATGGGTCTCCCAGGATCGCGGCCGGGTCACGGCGGGCTCTGGTCCCGCTCACTTCCTATTTTCCATGAGCCTCGTCTCTGTCACGCTGGTGTCACTCTGATTTGCCGGATGAGCCGCTTGACAGAGCTGGGTGATGGCTGGGCCCAGCCTGCAGATGCTCGGAGCCACACAGCCGGACGTGCAGCCTGGCGGGCGCCTCCCGTCCCGGGGAGCGGTTTTTAATTCGCTGTAATTTATGCATCCTTGCAGTCCTGAGAGTGCCTGGCCTGTCAGCAGAGCCGAGATGAAGGCTGACAGTTGTCACCAGGGCCTGAAGGGAGCCTCACATGATGACACATTAGACAGACTAATGATGTTTTCCTCTCGCTTCCCTCTCGCTCTCCTGCCTCCTCACCTCCACGCCAACCCCGCCATGGCCCTGCCACCGCCACTGCCACTACCATCACCTCGCCACCGCAGGGACGCTCCGGACGCAGGCCCGGCCAGGAGAGTTCGTCTGCATCGAGTGCGGGAAGAGCTTCCACCAGCCCGGCCACCTCAGGGCCCACATGCGGGCACACTCAGGTATCGCCCTCCCGCCCAGCTGTCCCCAAGGGAAGCAGAGGAAGAGGGGTCTCTTCTGTCAGTGGCTTGACCATCCGCAGCCAGGGAGATACTGAGATTTCAGCCCCTACCAGGTGGGGGGGCCCTGCCATCTGCCTCCGGGATCGTATACCAGCCGCCCCCACTCCACACCTGAAATGGATTTTTTTGGTATCCATGTGCCATGTGGTTTAATTTGAGATAAACCTGTTTGCAAATGTTCCATTTTAATTAGAGAGTAACTGACTCCTCAGAAATGAATATGCTAATGAATGGCATTGCCACCAGCACACATTTAATCAAAGTACCCTTTTAGCACCGTGTAGGCATGGTTTTGTGTCCTCGCTGGCACTGACTGGACTCTGTGGGATACGCCTGGGCCCCTTTTTACCTGGCAGGATGTACTGCAAAATCCCTCAGCCTTTATGTAGAGAGCTTGCGCCCGATGAGGCTGGAAACTGTCAGGACAGTGCAGGGGCATTAGAGAGATGGGGAGACGGGTTCTCTATCAGCACTCTGAAGGATGCACACAGAAGCTGGTCTGATGCAAGATGACACAGGCCAAATGGTAAGTAATGCAAGAAGAGGGTCCCTTACACACACACCGATAATTAATGTTGTCAGTGATTGCTTTTTTCAGCAGCGAGGTCTGAATTAAAAAGGGCAGTGGCCCCAGGCAGCCATTATCACAGTCTCTTACTGTAAGTGTTACGGTAAATTGGTATTTTCCAGCCACAGGCTAGGCGCTGGTGTCTTTTTTTGTGAAAGTACTTAATCTGTAATGGACTCATTTAATGTGCACGTCCTGAAGCTCACACGCTCATCTGTTAACAAACCCCTTGTTCCCACAGTGGTGTTTGAGTCCGATGGACCCCGGGGTTCTGAAGTTCACACCACCTCCGCAGATGCCCCCAAACAAGTAGGTCTCATGATGAATTGGATGTCTGGGTTTTGATGCAGTAGCTGGGAAAGGTGCACCATGATGCTCATCGCTGAAGCATGACCTCCTTTTTGTTTTTTTTCACAAGATGTGTAAATAATCCTATACACTTTCTTGGAACGTGACCCTTCGGGGCCGTCTGTGGGCAGTCCCCGCACAGAAGCCCTCCCAGCCGGGTGGTGCAGGGTCTAGGTGCGCACCGCTGGTTGTTGGTTATGTTGGGGAGGAGGAAGTCAGGACAGACTGGCGGTGACTGCAAACACTAGAAACTCCCTTTTTTTTCCAAGATGGTTTTGGATATGAGTTTGCTTGAGAACAAATGGTGGTTAACCTCCTTGAGGAACATTATTTTTGTGTTATTCTGTAAGAAAAGTTTCACGTCCAGCGTGGTGTCTTGCGGCTTTATGCTTTGTTTCTCTGCATTACAAACACAACTGGCATGGCCGGAGTGCCTGAAAGTGGCTGTGTGCCTGTGCCCGTGATGCACCATTCCATCCAGGTGTGACTTGTGTACATACATCACTCAGTATACACGGAGTGTGCAGGACCCTTGCGTCAGCACGCGGTTCTGAGTCTTGCTGTAAAGTAGTGCGGCGCCCACAGCCCGCAGCGGGTCTCTTGCGTTCTTTCAGGGTGTGAGTGTGTATCTTCATTGCTCTCCCATTTTGCCCTCGGAGGACGTCACACCCGTGTGGCACAAGCATTCTCTAAATAACATTCTGGCTTTCTCCAAAGACAAACGCTCCCCTTTGTCATTGAGGAAAGAATTTCTTTGCCATGACAGTCAAGCCTTGTCTGGGTGGTTGAATTCAGTTTGTGTCTTCTGCCCTGACAAATCTAATTGTGGGATTCCTGGTTGCTGGTGAGGATGAGGGTGATTAAGACCTCCGAGGGATCTCAAGACTCAGTATGATCTAGTGAGATCTCAAAGAAAACTCGAGAATCATTCTAGTTTAGTTCTGGAGCCTCCGAGGGATCTCAAGACTCAGTATGATCTAGCGAGATCTCAAAGAAAACTCGAGAATCATTCTAGTTTATTTCTGGAGGAAAAAGGTGTGAGAGGCATGAAATGGCTTCACCAAGGGCCTGCTGCTAATGAGTGATTGAGCTGGGCTGGATGTCGAATTGACATTACCTGATTAGGGATTTCGTTTCCTTTTTTTTATTGCCTTGGTAGAATTTCTATGTGTTGTTAAAGGCCTTTGCTTCACGTATTGTTGACAAAAAGCCTTGCCATTTATTACAGGTTTTAAATAATTAGCTTCTGCCTTTCTTAATCAAACCCACAGTTACCCACTACTATGACAACTTATGAAATAAATAAAACATCTTTCTGAAAACGGAATTAAAAGATTTCCAAATGCATGACCTCCACTGCAGTTAGGAAGCGTTGTCCTTTTTAACAGAAATAAAACCCTCTTGCCACAAACAGTCACTGTCATGTGTTTGTGGGATGTAGTAACAGCAAGGTCATGCCGTAATTGAGAATTACAAGTTGATGTTACAACTGGAGCGAGTCCTAAGTGTTCCTGCTTGCACAGGTGACCCGTTAAACCCACCAAAGACCTGGCTTTTGGGTAGGAATGTTTGACAGGGGCGGGAAGCCAGGCCAGGCAGATCTATGAACAAGTTGGTGAGATTCTTCAGGAATGCATGGCAGTTTTATTTGCTGTCTATTAATTCTGCCTGAGCCCCTTTGAAAAGCTCTTGTCCTAGGGAGAAGTAGGAGATCAAAAAGCAAGTGTTGTAGACTGTATTTTCAATAATTTCTGTGTTACTTATTGGTTATGCTGGGAGTTTATTATAATTGTTACTCATTCCTGCTTCTGATATAGAAAAGATGTAGTTACATCATTGTCCTTGTCTCTCTAGACTAAAACGTTGTTACTTTACACTTCACACCAGCTAACCTCTTAGTTTCGAGTTTACAGTAACTCAATATCGTGGTCTGAGTTAATGTGTCTTTCAGACTTAGCTTATGTATTCACTGTTGGTGTGAAGATCTCAGTGGACCAGCTTCCCTTGCATTCGTAGGACAGTGGCAGTTCAGGCCTTGGCATTAAAACTGAGCTAGATTTGTATGCGTCTCCTGGTGTGGCAGCTGGTTTGTTAAATTCCGTGTAAGAGATCATGGCCTCTGATAGTACTTTTTGTCTTTCATCACATTTAAAGTAGCTTTTGGTGATTTACCACTGAATACCCTGGTTCTCTAAGGAAATTGCATTTTCCTTAACGTACTTTGGAACTATATCTTTAAGCATTCCCATACAGATTTGTTGCGTAGGATAATTGCAGAACACATCAGTAATAGGTAGAGGTTTAAATCCTAGGGTTCTTTGTTCTTATCCTGTAGTTCTCGTTGTTTACAGAAATCACAGTAGCTATGTTAAATTTAGAATACCTTATAGATTTATAGAAAAATATTCTGTAGTTATGTATGTCTGGAATGTGATTCATACTTACCAATCATATTCTTTTTCATATTGAGAGTGCTTTACCAACATTCATTAATATTTAAATCAGATTCTTTTCCTGTGGGCTTTAGATGCTAGGGATCATGGCTGTGTTTTTTTTGGATCATGCAACACTGTGTATTCATGCAGAAATTATTTGATGTGACACTTAAAGTCAATGGACTTTTATAGATACACATAATAGATGCTAAATTCTTTAATTGAAACAGCATTTGGAAATTCCATTTTATAATAATTTATTCACTCATTAACAATATTTATTGACCACCCATTGGGTGCCAGGCCTGTACAGGGTACTGGGGAGACAAGAAAACCATTTTTCCTGCTTCTCTGGTTCCAAAGGTCCATGGGTGGCTTAGACAGGAAATAGGGCAGAGCAGGGTAGCGCTGTGACATGGGAAGGGTCCTGTCATTGAGGCTGGAGGCGCTTGGAAGACTATGGAGGGGCAGAGGGATGGACGTTCCTGAAGAGCTCAGCACGTGGAAGGCCCAGAGTGGAGGAACACGTTCCACTGGAGGAGCTGGGTGGGGGTCAGCTCAGGGAGGGAGAGCCGGAGTGGGTGGGCAGAGGCTCGGGAGCAGGGTCTAGGGAGCACCAGGTCTCCTTGCTGAGACTCATGAATTTCTTCCATGGGGGATAGAGAGCCCAGGGGCAGGACGGACACCGTCAGAGTTGTAGCGCGAGAAGAGTGAGCAGGTCACACGCCACCGAGAATGGGCTTTGTGGTTCCCGGTGGCAGGAGCAGCCCTTTGGAGGCGCTTCGCTTGATCCCAGCGAGAGACAAGGTGGCCTGAGCTGGCATGGGGCTGGAGAGAGCGGGTAGATTTGAGAGGTAACAGAGGGATTGGGTGTGGGAAATGAGGGACAGGAGGGAATCATGTTGACCCCAGGTCTGGCTTCAGGCAGCTGGCCCCAGGCATGATCCATTCCCCTGAGGCTGGAAGGAGGAGCAGGATAAAACATTTCCAGGTGGAATTCAGGGTAAGTGAGAGCTTCGTGGAAACCCAGGTAGGAGTGTCCAATAGGCAGGCGAAGATACGGGTTTAAAGTGGAGAGGAGAGATCCTGGCAGAGACTAAATATATCTAATAGCTATCAACATTTAAATTCATTCAAGGTCAGTCAGTGCTACTTTTAGAGACCCAGATAATATAAATTACTAATCTCTTGGGCTATTGAGTAGAGGCTTTAACGTTGATCCTCCACCATAGACATATAATGTAACCTAAGTTTCCTTATCTATAGAATAATGATAATGGTGCTTATTTTGTATACTTGCTGTGGAAATCAAGTTAGAACATACACCATGAAGCACACATTCAATGTGACCTCGTCATTTATTCTAAAAATAAGCAATTTTCCTTAATAACTGGAGGAAACTCACATACTTGGAGAGCATTTCTGTGGTGAGCTCACATGTGAACACGTCTACACACATAACGCCTGTGTGGACAGATGACTGTGATTGATAAGCCGGTTAGTAGATTTTGCTTATGAACTCAGTTTGACGGCATATTTTCTTTACTTGGTGTCTTGTGGCTTTGTTGGAACCTGCCAGCGTGCTTCTCTTTGTTTTGTTTGGTTTAAGAGACTTGTCGTTAATTATTCATTAAAGAGAGGATGCAGGAAAACTGTGAGTTTGAGAAAAGTATTGTCAGGATAGGCCTAGTTACCTCGTTTGCTACATTCTGTTCAAAAGCCCTCCGGTTGGTAGACAGACATTGCTGGTTTTTGTAGAACAATTGCCCTTACTTTGTCGTATTAATATTTGAATATTCTATACTGGAAAATTCTGAGAAATCATGATACACCGTCTATCTCAGCGAAACAATTCAACAGGCACGAGGGCCAGGTAAATCTGCTGAAATTGATTTATTTCACCGTAGGTCAGAATCAAGAATAAATAATTAAATTAAAGTCAGTTTAATTCATCAACACACACCTGAAGCTTGAGGAGAAATAAAGTAGTTTCCTTTCGTGGTGACACTGGTAGCAGTCTTTTTCAGCACATGCACTGTTTAAACCTCTTCCGTGTTACAAACACTTACTTTAAGACCGCAGAGGACGTCATGAAAACCAGATAGTCAAAGCAGCCACTTCTTTCTGAACACCTTCCTTTGGTAGGCGGTGAGGGTGGAAAGGATGCCTGGAGCCTTGGAAGGCAGAGATGGAGGATAAATATATCAGGGCTCCCCGTAGGCTGTGGATGCTCACAGCACGCCCCTCTAGGCATCTCACTCTTTGGCCTCGATCGTAGACAAGCTGGAAGGAAGACGGTGAGAGGGTCCGGGCCCTGGGCCTCAGGAGCCCAACTGTGAGGGCATCCGCCCCTGTGGGTGATTCTTCCAGCCCAGCGGCGGCCCTGGTGCTTGTCCTTGGTGCTTTTACTGTGTTTTGGATTAAGATGGTTCTAATGCCAAGGACTGCCGATCCTCCAACAAATTCTATATGAGGGGAAGAGCTCATGCATGTTGTCGTTTAAAAGATGCTTGGTCATCCGTTTAGCACAACTGAATAAATGTTTAATTTCTAGTAATCATCAGTATTCATCATTAGAAACACTTTTTGAAAACAATATGTTGAAATCTGGGTGTTTTGTCCTGTGGATGTTAGAGGAAAAACTAGGAAGTTTCTCTGGTGTTGCAGATAAATTGATTCTTTTTGTTACATTGTTGTTAAACATTCGAAATTAAAATGATTTTTGAAACCAAGAAAAATTATTCCCCCCAACCTCGTGGTTTTGGGATTTATTAAAAGACCAGAATGACTGCTGAAATATGAAATCTGGTGTTTTGATTTGTTTGGATTCCTTGCCAGAATTTAAAGACTATGATTAATAGTTTATTTCTTATTATTCTAAATGTTATTTAACAATAGTTAAGCTGGATAAATAATTCCATTAATCAAAATAACAGGAAATGAAAAAATAAATGGCGACCTAATTTGTCTCATTTTTAGCTGTGGCTATTATAATGCAAATGATGGAGAAATCACGTAGGTTGGTACATTTGAATATATGCATAATCTATTTTCAGTATCACTTTTAGAGTCTCAGCATCACAGATCAGAGTTTGAAATTCAGCTCATTTGCTTAAGCTTTTCTTGTTTATTAAACCAAACAAGCATCTTAAAAACACATTTTCCATTTTCTCTAAATATAATATGCTACCAAAAATCATGAATTAGACCTGGTGACTTATCCAAAATCACCGCAGTCGCATAGCCCTTGTTTAGGGCTTGTTGGGTAAGGTTTTAGTCAATAAAGCATCGTGCATAATTGGTCCTCAGGCACTTAGCATTGCCTGCGTGGCTGACCGCAAGCCCTGTTTATAGGCTGACCTCCCTCTGAAGGCTGAGAGGTGCCCCGTGTGTCCTGGGGCATGGCGGGTGTTTTGTGTGCAGGCCATCGATCCACACCCACCACTACATACACATTTCCCTTGCCTTACTAAAAGAAAAAGAAAGTAGACCTCATAAAGTTCCAGTAGTCAATATCCATCCCTACAACACGGAAATACCTTCCAGAAAGATAGTATTTCTTTCAGCATTACTGAGAAGCCCACAATTCACAGCTGCAAAAAAGAAAAGCGCAATCTTCTAAAAGCAGGCGTCCCATTTTTTGACTGCTCTTTCCCTTTCTGGAGGACAAGGCGATGTGGATGTGCTCAAAGATTACAGTGTGTCCACTTAATTTGAATATTTCTGTGCCTCCTTTCTTCCATGTTTTATTCATTTCTTAAAAATGCTCTGGGGCTGCTTTATTGAATAATGACATGGTGGCCTCTGGTGAATCAATAACTTAAAACAACTCTCTTAAAAAATGAGGTATTGGAACACATCCCTTCAATTATGAAGAGACAATAGGCGTCTCTGCATCTGGATTTGTGAACACAGTTTAACCACCTAGTTGTTTGGTTTATCCGGACTTTGCAGTGCTTCCAAAATAAATATTTTTAAAGCCGTCTGAGCCCTGTAATGTGAAACGTTAGCCCGTCATGGACAGAAGGCCGTCTTCCTGTTGCCTCTGGAACAGTCCGTTGAGGCCTAACCCAATGCAAGTCTGTGACTTCTGGTCCAAAGGAAGAGTTACCCGGGTGGATGTGCCCTGGGGGTGCCGTCCATGTGAAATCTAGGCACACAAAGCCCCCGTGTTCGTAGGCACCCCCTGACCACTTCTTACGGTCCCTGACATCTCTTTTCACTATGCAGAGACGGTCAAGGCCAACACCCAACAGCTGACTGTAACTCCCAGTTTTCTTCCGGTAAACACAAGACCATTTTCCTTCCCGAATGTATTTGGAATTGGTTCTTGGTGAGCCCCGTTGATGATGAATACTTCCCGTCAGAACCTCAGAGATCTCTTCACAGCCTGATGTCGCTGTACAAAAATGTAAAACAATCTTTCTCCGTTTACTGCAGGAAATTCACCATATACTTAGGGAAGTTTTATCACATCTCTCATTCTGTTAAACTGTTTCCAACATTTCAAATAAACTGCTGTCTCCACCACTGCACCCACCCCCTAAGCCCTCATAAAATTTTGTGGAAGATCTGTCTGACTTCCACTGCATGTCAACTGGTAGATGTCATGAACACAGAGCCAGCTGTAAGTAGGAGTTTTCTGGAACTATCAAGAAAAGCCTTTAATTCATTATGTCAACCAGACCTTCCCCCACTCCGCCATTATTTCTGGGGTTCCTATAGGTCTAGCTGGAAACAGTTAGAATTTTACATGAGTCCCCTGGTTTATGTATGCATGTTAATTTCTGGTGGTCAGTTTCACTTCAAGATTTTAGCTGAAGGTTAATGCAGTTAAGTAAGATAAATCTGGCCATACTGTTTTTGTCCTCAGATTGTAAACGCTATTGTTCAAACAGGGATGCTTCACATGTCATTGGAGAGCATTCTCTGAAAGCTGTGGACCCCCATTTATGCTTGGTTTTCTCTCACAGTTCACTGTAAAATACCCCTTCCCTTTTTCCGGTGTGGTAATTGTTTATGGAAATGGGTGAAAACGCGCTGAAGTTCTGACAGACATATGTGAGAGCCGTGCTTTTCTTTTTGTTTGTATGGCCCCAAATTCAGCCTTGTTTTGGAACTACCGTTCACTTGTAAATCCGCTTTGTACTATACAGTTTTACAATCTGGCTGCCTCCTCATCTTGCCAACTTGTAACCTCCTCTCCAGAGCTGGTTCAGACATTATCATCTGCCATTCTTACATGTGAAACCATTAGAGAAGTCTAATGATCCTTTCTAAATCACACTGGAAATGATTCTTTTTCAAGCCGCCTCTCTTTAAGACAGCAAGGCACATTTAAACTTACTTCATGCTTATTTTATAATATGAGTTACAGCTCAAGTCAGGTCTTTGCCGACTTGGTTGGCTTGCTCTGTGAAGGTCATTGTTTGTGTTCTTGGATGTTGATTAGAAAATTAATAGGAAAAATGCGTTTAGAAACCAAAAGGCAGAAATGAGCTTTTCTCCTGTTCTTTCCTTTTTCTCACCCAGGGGAGAGACCATTCTAACACAGGTACCGTCCAGACAGTGCCTCTCAGAAAGGGAACCTAAAGGCGTGTTTCCGACGCACCCCAGGTCCCCGTAACGGCCATTAGCAGTACCCTCACGATGTCCCAGCAGCCTCCCGCCTGTGACCTGGCCACTCCACGGAAGAACAGCCGGAGAACTCCTGAGCAGACACCTCACATCCCGAGCCGCTGCGCTGGAGTGGAACCTGAAGGCAGATGCCTCTCCTTGTTAAACGTTCAGAAATAAATGAAGATGCTATACTCTAGAAATACATGTAGATACTATATACACATTTACGTGCTCATCGCCCATAGTCCCATATTTTCTTATAATAAACAGTAGTACTGGCAGGCACAGTAGGGGCACAAGGCATCTATCTTATTCAAGACAAGTTTGAGACACTGGAAAAAAAGATACTTGTTACGTGTGTTGGACAGAGTGGCGAGGCTGAGCACTGTCACAGGGGCCTCCCATGCTAAGAGGGACTGTGGAGATGATGTCAGCACAAACCGTGGTGGATTTGAGGTTGATCGAGTATTAATACTACTGCCTCTCCTTGTCTTAGTGGGTATTTAAAATAGTAAATAAGAGAGGGGAAGGAGGTGACGTTCAGGTGCTGTGGGAAGCAGGCTTGGTGGAGGGGCATGATGATGGGACCCTCATGCTGGTTCCGTCGCACTCTCCCTGGGGGCCGTGTGCCTGTTCCATTCCTTCCACCATTCGAACTGAGCGAATCCGGCAAAGGCGACACGTCTGTGGGAATGCGTAGATTCTGCCTCGGAAGAGAGCTAGTGGAACACTAAGAAAAGCAGGCTTCTTGTTTATTCTCAGGACCTTTTTGTAACAGGGCTACATTCTGCAAACTGCTTACAAAGGAAGACTATACGTCTTAACAAATTATTTAGCCACTGAGTCCTCCCGATTCGGACCTGTTTTAGTAATGGCAGAAGAATCCCTGAGCAGGTTCAGGGGCCCTAGATAACTAGGGTGCTGAGCTCTGGCACCTTCTGTCCCCACTCTTTGCCTCCCCGCCCCTTCCCTGAGCCACCCCAGCAAGTGGGTGTGTGTTCTCCCTGGGCCTGGTGACCTCCACAGGATGAGTAACTTCGTTCATAAAGGGTGGGGATCACCAGCCCCTTGGGTGGGGACGGCTCTATATACCTCTTCCTCAGTAATGCAAATGCGAGTTTTTGTGGTGGGGGTTGAGGCCCATAGCAGAGGATCTTAAACCATGCAGTGTACGCAATGGAAATTGTATTCCACAGATATACATATTTTCTTTTCCCATTGCCGTGACACTATGTGTGATGGTAATATTTCTGAGAGTTTCAGATTTTTGCACATATGATTTTATGCATTATCAAAAGTTACTGCTGCCTTGAATGAAAATGTTCTGTGAAATTTTTTGCAAAAGCTTTACTAGGTTTTTTTTTAATTGTGAAATTTTGTAAAGGCAGGAAATGGATTAAAACGAGCATGCTAAATATATTTTTCAAAAAAGCAATAATTTTACATGTACAGAAATTATCCTAACCTTTAATACTGGTGAGAGCAACAGTTTACTTAATACAGTAATGGATTAGTGCAGTTTTTGTAGACAGTGGGCTTCTGATACAAAGTCTTGTTTAAACACACACACACACACACACACACACACACACACCCTAAAGTGTGGGTTTCCTGTTCTAATGATTTGTTGAATATTATTATTATTATAATATTATTATTATTATTGTTGTTATTGTTATTAGTTAATGTTTGGTTCTGGATTCTACTTGTTACTGAGTTTAAATTACTTGACGGTTCAGGTTACTTTGCAACACTTTCAAACAATGCAATGTAACTGGCTAGCTTATATATATATATATATATATATAGATTTAATTTTTTTTTTTTTTTTACTTATTTTTTTCTGATACTCTTACACCAGATATGTACAAAAATGATCTGTCCTGTTGGTGTAATTAGGAATGTCCCTGCAGATACAGTTAAGCAACTGTAATTGGCTGTTCTGTAAAGTTATTTTGAGCAGAGTTGCAGAGACACATTCCTCTGTCCACCTAAGAAATCAGAAGACTCTTGTGTTGATTTATGTTTAATCATTTCAGTAGTTTCCCCACAGTGATCATTCTGCATTTTCTGGCTTTTGTTTTCTTGGCCGAAAGTGAACGGTGACTGTTAGGAATGTCAGGGACTAGTGACCCAGTCCTGTTTCTCTGTGTTTTAGTTATTAAAAAGAAATTCTATACCCAAAGTGACACAAAAGTGTAGTCTACATTTTTACTGTTTCAGAAGCGGCATGGAAAAGTGCAGTTGGCCTTTGGAGCTGGAAGGGTCTTGCTGGCGAGTCTCCATCCTGGAGAGTCTGGTGGGGGGTGGGCTGGTGCTGGGGCCCCGCCGGCCGCAGGCTGGATCCATCCTGGCTTGCAGGAGAGCAGGCGTGGAGGACAGTCAGCTTGCGGGGCCGCGCAGGGTGCAGAGTGCAGAGCGCAGGAGGAAGGTTTTCACCCAGCTAAACAGACTGGGGGGGACACCCCCAAGAATGCCATCCCCTGAGGCCAGCTGTGGGCAGGCCGAGGTGTGTGGTCCCTTCCTTCACCAATCATCAGTATTGTATTGGTTTGTTAATTTGTTGATGTCAGTTCGGTCATAGTATTTAATATGATTTGTGTTTTCTTATTTATGTAGCCACTGTTTGATTCCCTTTTTTTTCCGAATGGTAATTTCTGCATGATACACTTCTGTACGTTGTCTTCTGACTGTTACAGACTTTCTACTACCTCTCCCGATCTGCTGTTTCCTTGTTTCTTAACAGGATTTTTTACAGTGTTGCGTCTAATGTAACTTAGACAATAAAGGGTTTGGTTGTCTACACTGCAGCTTCTCCGTGTCTCTCCCCTGCTTTCCGCTCGCTGCTTCCCCCTCTGCCCCTGCTGGGGCCTGGCTCCACCCTGGCCTGCCTTCCCACACTCTTCCTGTTTCCTGCTCACAGCTCTTCCTCATTTTTGCATTCAGATAACACACAGCTAATGAGCTTCTAAAAATCTTTCAGGTTGTTCACTTGTATTCCTTAATTTGAAGAATGAATATTTAAATTCTCTCAAAAGTCAGCTGTTGAGGATCTTCTCTGGGAAATGAGCCCACTGTCCCTGCCTGCCTTTCTGCCTGGTCCCGGAAGGTCTTATTGTCATCTTAGACGGACAGATTCCGTTCTCAGCACCATACAGACTTGGCTTCAAAGCCCGGTGAAGTTTGCCTTTGAGGCTGTGAAAAGTATTAAATGTTATAAGAGGTTCCCCAATATTTACTTATTTATTTTTTAAGCCAAGAATGACACTGGTTTCCTGAAAAGCAGGTGCTTCAGGAAGTAGCAGTGGGGAGTTGTATACAGTTACTTCGTCAGAGAAAGGAGCGCCCAGTATGACAGGCCACCGCCCCTGATCTGGCCACTGTGCACAGGTCGCTGAGGGCACGAGAACACCTCTGCAGGGGCTCCGGGACATGTGGGTTTCATCATTTCACACGCCTTCAGGGCGCAGGGTTGAGCGCGGGAAGGGCGAGCTTCATCGCCATGGTGCCTCTCCAGGGCGGCCTCTCTGGTCGGCCTCTGTTCTTTGGACAGAGAGACAGGGTGTGGCTTACGGGGTCAGTAGTGATGCCTTCTGGATCGAAGAAGGTGGGTGCAGTGCTTAGTCCGCTGTGTGGGAGAGGGCACCTCCTGGGCTTTCGTGGCTGGAGACTGTCTGCCAACATTCCTTCCTTCAAACTAGGCAAACCCTCCTCTGCCACCCCCAGCACATTCTCAGAGGTTTCCAAGCTGTAGAAAAGGGAAGGAAGGAAGGACGGCATTCATATAGCTTTACTTTCCACTTCAAAACGTCTTAAGTAGCATATGTTGTTTTACTGCTTTTAACTTGGGTGAGTTCTAATTTCAGAACGTTTTGTTCACTGAGCAGAAAAAGATGAAACCACCACAGGCCAGGACTTCAAGTGAGGAGGACGCCTGTGTTTGCCGTGGTTGGTGGTTGGTGGGAGCACGCTCTGGGGCCCGGTAACATGCCTGTGGGAAGTGACCGAGGGGCCACCCGCCCAAGGGAAAATGTTCATTCTTCATCAGCTTTGCTAATTCTACTTTGAGGCAGTAAAATGCAAAAGGCCATAGAATTTGTATTTCCTTTTTTAAAATACAATTTATAACATTATATTTTGTACTCTTTATATTAGAATTTGTAACTAGATTGATGTATTTAACTCTATTTCTGAAAAAGTAATTCAATGTTTTAGTTGTGTGATAAAAATATTTAGATAAAACATATTCATTCTATTGGAATTTGAAATAAATAAAAACATCTTGGAGTTCTGAGATTTGTAAGACATTTTTCCCCAATTTCAGAGGGTGGCTTACATCGTTTGACAGCCCGCTTTGATCTGTGGTTATTTATTTTTGTTGGCTGAACATAAACCAAAGTGTTAATGCTCTTTATTTATAGAAGAATTTTAGGATGATTCACAAGATCGTTCATCTGAAAAGATGCCCAGATGGCCCGAGTTTTTTTTTTTTTTCCAACTCTTTTGTGGACTCCGGGACATCACTGTTTGTAATGGAAGATGCTGTGTTTTTCTCAGTTTTTTTCGCAGCACCCATTATTTCCCCACTGAATACACTCACTGTTCTTACCCTTGCACTGTCACCCATACAGGACGTATAGGGATGGACGCAGAAGGAATTCTGACTCAGCCACACCTGGAGGAAATTACTGTGTCAAACGTGGGGACACAGAGGGGCTGGCACTGTGATTTGCAATGGTTGACTGATGAGACAGTGAAAATGAGACAGGACCATCAGATGCAATAAAGATTCTAATTTGAAAAGGTAAAATGTGTTTTTAAATTAAAAGATATAACCGTGTCTCTACTGGCTGAAGAAAGAACGGAGTAGATAAGTTCCTGAATGTGGCTTCCCAGATGGGCTAGGCAGGAAATGGAACTTTGAACAGCGGTGGGCGTCCCTCACCGCACCCGAGCCTCTGGCCCTCTGCACCACTCTGCAGTGAAAATGCTGCTTCGGAAGGCCTTTGATGATCCGAAAGGCCTTTGCGTCAAGTGCAGAGCTTGTCTAACTCAGCCGAGGGTTATGCCTCACTGTTCAGAACCTCCTTCCTCTTGGATGGCTGGTTCTTCTGAGAAGGGCGTGCATCCGAAACGAAGTGGCAACACCGAAGTCCTTAATAGGTAGCTGACATTGAAGTGAAGGGCTAAGAACACTTGTGCTAGGACAAAGGAAAACCCTGGCCTACATCTCCCTGTGTCGCCTGACATGGTCAGTTCTCCCCGGTAGCACAGGAGCTTACTGGTGTTGCTATAGCCGCATCCCAGACCCTTTGGTTCCACAAGTAACCAAGCTGCTTCCCCACAGAAGGCAGTTTTACATCCTTTATCTGCCTCCTGTTCACCCAGCAGTGAGGGCGCAACGTCTACACCGGCTGCTCTGGACGTCTTAGTGGGTGGGAAATGGGGGAAGGCAGTGGCGCGCGGTCTCCGTGTCTGCAATTTGTCCATGTCATGCTAGGCGCAGAAGCTGGGGATCGTGACACCCCCCCGCCCCCAACAATCTAAAACCTTAATACATTCATCCCAGCACCTTTACTTTCCCTTCCTTAGCTGTTTGAAAACGGTGGTGCGTTTCTAATGTGTGTTACTAATGTTCTCAATCTTAACCTTTTAAAAGGATACTATTGTAAAATTACAGAAAGAGAACGTGAGATGCCCTGGTCTTTACCAGTGTGACAAGTTCTTGGGATGTGTGATTTCCTCACTGTCCGCCGAGGCACGGGGGCTTATGATGGCTTTGAGGAAGTAGAACTTCCTTAGGGATCTGGTGCAGGTTGGCGGTCACACATCCCTCTGATTTCCTTATGGGTGGGAAAAATGTAGCGAAACAATTGCAACGAGAATGCTGTCTCAGTCCTTTCAGGCTGCTATCACAAAATACCTAAGACTGAGCATATTTTTTGCTCACAGTTCTGGAGGCTGGGACATTCATGATCAATGTGGTGGCAGCAGGTTCCGTGTCTGGGCAGAGCTTTTCGCTTCATAGATGGAACCTTCTTGCTGTGTCCTCATGTGGAGAAAGGCGAACAAGCCCCCTCGGGCCTCTTTGATGAGGGCCCTGATCCTACTCCTGAGAACTCTGCCCTCATGACCCTGATCACCTCCCGAAGACCCCACCTGTTTATGCCAACCCATCGGGCATCAGGTTTCAACGTAAGAAATTCGGTGGGAACACAGACATTCAAACCGTAGCAAATGCTCTCTGCTGTTTTCATTTTTCAACTGACGAAGATGTGGAGATTCCCATTCCAAGTCCTTGGGTGGGTTATTTCATCTGCCAAGAGTAAATTCTTAACTTCATTGCCAACAGTTTCAAGTTTTAAAGGGCAGGAGGACAAGGGGACTCCATCTTGCCTTTTTATGTGCCCAGATTTGTCCATGGAAGAACAGTATTCAGGTCACAAGCATGAGACCCACTTGACTCCATACATCAATCTCCTTATGTCCTGCTCTTCCATTCATAAGAGTGGCATTGATGGACCGAATGTGCCCAGGACAGGGTTACCGGGTCTAAAGGGAGGGTTTAAGAAGACTTCACAAAATTAGGTGAACCGCTGTGAAATATTGGAGGTCTGGTATGGGTATTTTGATTATAGAACTGTCGATGTGTGGTGGAAGGAATAGGCTGACACTGCCTCAACATAAAACGCCACCCGTGGGTCAGGCTGTGCAGCAGATGACTCGCCCTGACCCTGCGTCCTAGCAGAAACTCAACATTCATTTTTAAGGAATACAATATCAGAGTCCTTACTCGGAGAAGTAAATTGGAACCAGATAAACATGCAAGTTTCACTTAATCAGAAGATCTTAGGCTTCTTTAAAATTGTAGAAATCATACAGAAAGTTTTCAACTGTATGAATTTGCTTAACAAATTCTGTGCCGTATAGTAAGCACTGAAATAGGTGCAGGCATAGAACGATGAACAAAACGGAACCTGCTTTTTGGGCTGTCACAGTGGAGGAGGAACATGGGTCTAAAAATGATGAGTTCTAGGCCAGGCACAGTAGCTCACACCTGTAATCCCAGCACTTTGGGAGGCCGAAGTGGGCGGATCACGAGGTCAGGAGATGGAGATCATCCTGGCCAACATGGTGAAACCTTGTCTCTACTAAAAATACAAAAATTAGCTGGGCATGGTGGCGCACACCTGCAGTCCCAGCTCTACTCGGGAGGCTGAGGCAGGATAATCGCTTGAACCAGGGAGCCAGAGGTTGCAGTGAGTTGAGATCACACCACTGCACTCCAGCCTGATGACAGAACGAGACTGTCTCAAAAAAAAACAAAAACCAAAACAAAACAAAAAACAAAAAGAAGATGCGTTGTAATTCAGAGAAAATACATACAAGTTCACAATGTCTGTGGAAGAAGAATGGAGCCTCTTCCATTGGAGACTGAGGTCTAGGATCTAATCAGATCTAATCTAGGATCTAATCAGGTGACACCCACGTGAAACTTTTGGAAGGATGTGATATAATGGGGTAATTAGGTGGCATTAAAACAAAACTTGCCTCTGATAGTAAACCTTAGTTGACTTGGAAAATCTGTAAGAAGATCTTAAGATGGGAGAGACAAGTGACACGTGAATTTCAGTGAGGAAAAGCTAAGGGAGTGTATTTTTGGAAATAACCCATAGTACAATTAGAACATACTTTGTCAGATCTGACAGAGGAGAGACTGAGATCGTTGTCAACTATTCCTTGACATTAATTCAAAGTGAGGCTTCAGGCGGCAAAATTGGTAGCCTGTGGATCAGCAGGCAGGAGACTGTGGGGAAAATGGCACAGTGGCCCACCAGCGCCATAAAGGTACCGTGTGCCTGTTTCTGAGTTGATGTGTGCATCTGTTATTAAAATTCAAGGAACTACACAAAAGCCAGAGGTGGACAACACAGTGGCTGAGGGGAAACTTCAACATCAGATGTAGAAAATGTGAGATGGATTCGTTGAGAGAAAGGCTAAGAGGAAGTCTGTGACGGGAACAGCATGGATCAGATAGACATTTTGTACAGGCCTATGTGTAGGCGATACAGCTTTAAGTCTTGAGAGAGAAATTTGCAAGAAGTTAATACTTAAAAGGGCTACCTGTGTGCCAGGAACTCAGATGTTTTCATCTAATTTATCTTATTCAAGTCTCACAGTGCTCTTCAACGTAGGCACTGTTAATCTTACAGATGAAAACTGACAGAGAAGGGTAACGTACCCAAAGAGACACAGCCAGTAACCTGTGGAAACACCAGTGGAGTCCATGTCTGCTGTGCGTGCAGACCTACCAGTCTGCACTCTTCTGCTTTGTTATACTGACTGGAGGGATGCATGCAGTTAGTAAGAAGGATCATCCCTGTTTCATGTCCCTGTCGAGCATCACTGTAAGGGAATATCTGAGGCTGAGTAATTATTCAGAAAAGAGGTTTATTTGGCTCACGGTTCTGCAGGCTGTGTAGGAAGCACAGCACTAACATCTGCTGGGATTCTGGTGAGGCTTCAGGCTGCTTCCACTCATGGTGGAAGGTGGAGGGGAGCTGGTGTGTGCAGAGATCACACAGCAGAGAGGAAGCAAGGGGGTGAGGTACCAGGCTCTTAAACAACAGGCCTCCTGGGAGTTAGTAAAGCAAGAAATCCCTCAACCCCCACCCCTAGGAGGGAATGAATCTATTCATGAAGGATCTGCCTCCATAACCCAGACACCTTCCCTTAGGCCCACCTCCAACATTGGGGATGAAATTTGGACATGAGGTTTGGATGGGACACATATCGAAACTATAGCACGCGTTACTACTTCCCAAAACACCGAGACACCCATTACCCACATGAATCAGTGTAGCAACCTGGGGTGTGGATCCCGTCAGCGAGACGACTGGAGGTCCTCAGTGGATCAAAACAAGACGTTTTGGGTTTCTGAGCTTCTGCCTCAGAGGGATCAAGGCTTCTTTTGGGTGACCTTCTGTAAGTCCAGCTGTAACGTGCATGGGGGTAAGAACACTGGGATCTCCACAGACCTGGGTGTGAGTTCAGGTGTGTTGCATGCCAGATGGGTATGTCCAGTAGCCTTTTTCTTCCTGTTTCTATCTCCTCCGTTACTTCTTTCCCCTACTCATGTGGACATGCTCAAGACACCCCCTTCCCAAAAACACCACCAAGGAAACACCTTCCTGGGACCCCAGAACCCTCTACACCTGTTGTGTCCTTACCTTTCCTCCTTCCTAAAACATCATCCATGATCACTTTACCCTCCTTGTTCTAGCTTATATCACCAATGCCTAC